TCCTAGAAAATGCAACTTACTTAAATTGATCCAAGAAGAATTAGGAACTTTGAATAGCTACATATCTAATAAAGAAATTAAATCTGGGCCAGAAACAGTGGCTCAAACCTGTAATCCTAGCACTTTGGGAGGTGGAGGTGAGAGGATTGCCTGAGTCCAGGGATTCAAGATCAGCCTGGGCAACTTTGCAAGACCTCATAACAATAAATTAAAAAATTAGCTGGGCACAATGGTACACACCTGTAGTTCCAGCTACTTGGAAGGTTGAGGCAGAAGAATTGTCTGAAACCAGCAGGTTGAGACTGCGGTGACTATAAGCATGCAACTGCACTCCAGCCTGAACAACAGAGTAAGATTTCGACTAAAAAAAAAAAATTAAATTAAGTCCATAGTTAAAAACCTTCCCACAAAATACTTCTATCAGACTCAAATGCTGTCATTCTTGAATCCTACCAAACATTTTAAGAAATAATCCCAATATTACAAAAACTTTTCCAGAAAAGCAAAAAAGAAAAGGAATTTACATCTCCTTTTATGAAGCCAAGATAACCTTAATTAACCAAAACTTAAAAGGGGCATTACAAGAAAGGAAAACCATATGTCCAGCTCTCACATAAACACAAATGCAAAAAATCCCAAGCAAAATAGTAGCAAACCAAATTCACCTATGTAAACAGGTTATGCTACATCAACACAAATTTACATTTATTCCTGGAATCTACTCTGGGTCTAAAATTCTAAAAATAAATATAATTCACCACATTAACAAAATAAAGTAGAAAAATTCAATGATAATCTCAATAGTTATAGAAAAAGTTATCAGTCAGTAGGTATAGAAAAATTAATAAAATTCAACACCATTCACAATTTTTAAAAACCTCTTAGCAAAAACATTTAGTGCGCACATAATACTTGGTGAAACACCAAAAGTTTGACCTTGAAATCAGGAAAGAGACAAGAGTCACTTGCTATGGTCACCATTTCTACTGAGCACTATGCTAGAGGTTCTAGACAATGCGGTCAAGACAAAGAAGGGACATAAGAATTAGAAATGGAAAATTAAAACAGTCCTTATTCAAAGACATGATTGTGTACATAAATATTCTAGAAGAGCCTACACATAAACCAACAGTTATCAAATCAACTTAGTGTTCACAAATAAAAGGTAATAAACAAAATCAATTTAATTTTTTATATACTAGCAATAAGCACTTAAGATATGAAATTTTTGAAAACTACTATGTCAGCACCCCAAATCACTAAATACATAATAACGCAAGCACTGATGCACAAGGCTTCTAAAGAACACTAAGTGCAATATAATAACCCCAACAGGATTTTGTGTGTGTGTAAATCAACAGGTTGATTCAAAAATGTATATGAACATTTAAAAACTAATGTAGGCCAACTGGTATATCAGACAACGTCCGAATCTCAGTGGTTTATCATAGAGACATTTGCTTCTTGCCCATATAACAGTTTAAGACTGTGCTCAGCAGCAGGTGTCCTTCCACAAGGGCCTCAGGCCCAGGCTTCTCTCCAGCAGCTCTGTTCTGTTCTGCCGGGCTCCGGGTACTCCAGGTACCAGCGGCAGAGGGGAGGGAGGTTGCTTTTATGGGCCAGGCCTGGAAACCTCCTTGGTTGCTCTTGCTTGTGCTCCATCAAGGAAAGGAAGGCAGGGAGACTGAGTCTAGCTGGGTGCCCAGAAAGAGAGCAGGGGAGCAGGTCCAAGGTATGACCCCTCCGTCGCCCCCAGCCTGGCCTTGGCCTGCCATTCTGGCCACTGGTATCCACTTCACTGTTCCCCTACACAGAAAGTCACTCTCTCATAGTGGAACACCTCCAAATGCCATTGTCACTGTATCCATGTCACAGTTCAGGCTCTTGGATGTCATTTGACCCTCCCCCTTGGGTCCCAATTTGGTGTGCAACCTATGAACTAGAAAGACATGGAATGTTCTTGGATCCTCGCCATGATCTAATATCCAATGGGGGAACAGGGGCAGGACAACTAAGAAATACTCGCAATGGCACAGGTGACAAGGGGGCCACGGATCCAGGAAGAACCTGAGGGGAGGCATCATGGGGCTCCTCCCCTGGGGATGCCTTGGCTAGACTGTGACTCCCTCTGCCTTCTTAGGGAACTTCGTGTCTGCCTGTCTTCAGCCCCTGGTTCTGCCCACTGGGTGTCCCGCCAAGTGAATTGAGGCCTTTTTTCATCACTCAAGACCTCTCTCTTACCACTTGGAGTCCAGAAGTAATTGGCCTGTCCAATCCTGTGGGGATCCTTGTCCTTCACCTTTTTACTATAGCCATTCCTTTCTATCTCTGTGTGAAACCTGCCAGTTTGAACTCCAACTCTTCCTCCTCAGGGAGGAAATGTAATGGCTGGCACACCCTCTGCTCTGTCCTACACTGGCCAGAGGCTTCCTTTCTATAGGCACTGTCTGCAGTCTGTCCTGACCCTTTGCCATCCCCTGCCTGACCCATATGGCAGTGCCCTATTGTGAGCAACAGCAACAGCCCATTTTAGTGACAAACAAATCACCACACAAATATATCTCAGGTGGTAACACAAATGTAACATATCTCAGATGGTGACACAGCGAAGCAGGATAAAGTAGGTCAAGGGACAGAGTGTCAAAGGGGCACCTTCATATAATAGTGTCTATCACATCGCAGATCAGGGTATATCAGCTTACAATGTTACTTCGTTTTAAAGAAAGAAGACAGATTAGAACAGAAATCATCAGAGGACCCTGTTTAGTGAAGATAAACATTGTTTTGTGAAGCTTATTTCACAGACGTGCACACACACACATATGTGCCCACATGCAAGTGCACATAATACAAAGTGTGTGCATTTCCACTTTCTACTACAGGTTCAAGTCAAAGAAGCCCCCACTACAGAGAGCAGTCAGGGACAGTCTTCTGATGAGAGATGACATTCTTCAGAGACCTGATGGATGGGGGGGACACAGCCTGAAGCCCTCTGAGAGAATATTTCAGTAAGAGGGAAGAGGAAGAGCCAGGCACCGAGGCAGAAGCACCTGGCTCCTAGAGTAGCAGCAGGCCAGGGACAGAGGCCAGGTCACAGAGACTATGATTGCAAGAGTACTTTGGGGTTTACTCCTGGAAAGCTGAGATACGTCTAATCAGATTTCTCTGGCTGCAGGGTGGAGAACAGATTCTAGGAAGACAGAGGGAAAGGAGGAAGAACCAGCAGCTCTGGTGGGTGCTAGAGCAACAGGGAGAGGAAGACATGGATTCGGAAGAGGCTGCTGAGGGAGGAGACCACACAATCTGCATGTTAGAACATGATAGGAAAGAAAGAGGAGTAGGGACAACTTCAACATTTGAAACAACTTTACTCACACGTTCATACACAGAGAACAAAAGAATATATATTTTTCCAAACATTCATCAAAAATTAACAATTACCATATATTAAACCACCATTAAAATCTTGATAATTAAAAAAGAAACCAAACAGTCATATTCTCTGGTCGCAATGCCATAAAACTAAAAAGTAACAGTAAAAATGACAGTGGAGCTAAAATCTAAATACTTTGAAATTAAAGATATTCTTTCAAATAATTTTTGAGCTAAACAATAAAAAGATTCGCATTTAGAAATGACACAGAAAAGCAGCACTCAAAGTGTTATAAAGAACAGCATTGCACGGAAGGAAATGGTCTTAAATGTATTTATTAGGAAACAAGAAGGAACATACATGACCTAAACATTCAACTCAAGAAGTTAGAGAAGGGTTTGAGGGTTCTTCCTGCCAATGTCAAGCCTGACCATGTGACAGGGTCTAGCATGCCGGAGCTGTACAGGGAGCAGAAACTGGCACCGTCATGAGAATTTAAGTTGCCACATATTTGGAGGAAAAGAAAGTGTTTATATTAAAAACTTAAACATCTAAATCTTTTCCTCTTATTTTTTTACTTTAGGAATCTATGCTGCAGAAATATTGTTATAGGTGTGGCGAGATTAGTGAAAAATGTTCACTGAAAGTCTGTTTGAAATAGTGAAAAACTGAAAAAACCCCAGAGGCTCACCAGTAGGAAAATACTGAAATATTATACAGTCATTTTATTTTATTTTATTTAAAGATGTGGCGTACAATTCAGGATTACGTATACAAGTGGTCATCATACAGGTAAAGTTTGGGCCTCTCCTTAGTCCCCACTCTGCCCAGTCAGAGATCAGGTACCCTTATTAATGTTGTGTTTCCCTCCATATACAAGCATTTTAAAAGAATGTAACTGTGCCCAAAATATAATGTCAGCTGAGAAAACATAAATTTTGTAGAAAGATAAATCACAGTAACACACACACAGCAAGTACAAAACACCTGGTAACTGTCATCTTTGGGAAACAGAATTTGGGGTTTGCTAATATGATTTTCTGTACTGTTTGAATTTTGTACAACTCTGTATTATGTATTATGTATTAATCAGAAAAAACAATTATGATATTTCAAAACATCAGACCAAATGCACATTTTGGAAACCAGGTATAGAATAGATAGAGAACATTCACTTGCAACTAAGTTTGTACTAATAACAAGTTGAACTGATGTATTTTATAGATAGAACAAAAGGCATTGTTTTAAGCCTACTGCAGCAGTAATTAATTTTAAACTTGCTTCATGTACAACCCTCTTAATTATACACGACCCCTTTGAAAAACCAAACTATATCACCCTCTTAAGGAGTTTGCATTCTGCTGAAAAAAAAAACCTACTTAACCCAATTTCATTTCCAGGAGCACAGCACAATTCAACAAATATGAATAAGGTCAATCTGTGGCTAAGAAAGAAAGCTGTGTTGTGGTTTTAAAAATTCTGATCATCCAGAAAACTTATAAGATCTAATTAAGCTAGTCAAAATGAATGAAAGTTTTAGAAACTACAAATGGCTAAAAATTAAATCTCAAATTTAAAAAGAAATACTACTGTGATTAATATTCAAATACTACAGATTTCAACTTACATGTTTTGAAAGCAAAACTGTACGACAAGGAACTTTACAAATCAAGCATTCATCCTTTTTACCTATAAAATAAAAACAGATTTTATTATATTATAAGGACTAGTGCTTTTAAATATGTATAAATGCAGACTTTTTAATTTTATTTATTTATTTACTTCTTTTTTAGAAAGCAGGATTTATTGAGAGGATAGAAAAGCTCCCACAGTGGGAGGGGACCCGAAGGGGTTGTACTTTTTATTTATTTTTAATGCAGACTTTAAATTACAACGTTTCTTCAAGAACTATACAGGATTATATGTTTTCCTGTTCAGACAGGGGCTGAGGCCATGGGTATGAATACAGTTGGAATGATTTATACAACTCACATTCTTCTTCTCCCTGCTTTGCAAATATGTCCCCAAAATAGTAACCACAAAGATCAACAATATTTTGGTTAAATCTGCCCCAGAAATTTCTTACAATTAGGTTTTATAGTGATATCATAACCTAAAATTTTAAACTACTCAAAATGACAAGAGCTCCTCCATCCCCTCAAAAGATAAAATTAGCTCTGTTCTGTCCTCTTGGGCTCAACTCTACAACTCAACGTCCAGGACAGACCACTCCTCCACTCAATAGATATGAATTTTATTGAGCTCCTGCTACCCATAAGCAGGTGCTGGGGCCTATGAATGAAAGGTTAATATGTCCTACTTGCTAGCATCCAGCTATTTCACCTGCCCAATCTCCAAGGTTTTGGCCCTAGATCCAGAGTGATTTTAACACCTATTTCACCGTTTTCCTCTCCATGAACTTCTAATCATCTCCCTGGAAAACCTGGACCTCCACGTGGCTGGCCATGAACAACAACCTTGCAGTTCCTTACCTGCTCTTCCTGGTGAGGTCCCTGTGCCCACATTATCACCTTCTGCCACAGCCATACCCTAGGCCACAACCATGCCCTAGGCCTCCACAGCATCCATAGTGTCATCAGAAGAACTTGGAACTTCTTCCTACCCTTCCTGCTCCCTCTGGGATCAGGGAGACCTCTCATCCCAGGCCAGGCATTTCCTGACACCCTTGAACTTGGTCTCTTCACTAGTCAGCTTGGAGACCAGGGCTGACCAGTCACTAGTGCAGCCTCCACGGGTCCTTGTCCTGGAGCACAAGCCAAACCTGAACAAGTTCAATGGCTATCTTTCTCCCCCACTTCTAGTCTGATGCAGACAATAGCTGGGAAAATGTTCTTTCACTGAGAGGTGAATTCACAGACTTGTGGATTCCAACATGGCTGCATCAGCAACACTGCTGGGCAATCTTTCTGCTTTTCTTGGGTATTTCCACCCCCTCCCCCATCCTCCATGGGTATTCAGGCCAGCCTCCTCATATAATCTACTAAGAAAAAGGAAGTCCCTTCTCATAACCTACCTCAGTTTTCCTGCCCCCTCCTCCCAGACCCACCTACCACAGAACAACCCAATTCACTCTGCCTCCTTCCTTTCTGTCTTAGAGGGGTGTCTCCTCCAGTCCAAGCCCAAGCCCAATCTGCGTACTCACACTCATCTAGGGTTTACATCTTTGTGTGTCCACACTCATCTCAGGGCCCACTCCCTCATCTGTGTGTTGAGTCCACACCTTCCTCTGTTGTTCTCACACTCATTCAAGGTCCACTTCATGTCTGTGCTCACACTCATCTCCAGGTCCACTCCTTCCTCTCTGTGGTCACACTCATCTCAAGGCTCACTCCTTCCTCTGCGTGCTCAAACTCATCTCAATTTCCACTCGTGTGGAAATTCGTGTGTTCACTCATCCCTGTTTCTACCCCTTCATCTGTGTGTTCACACTTATCTCAATATCCACTGTCATCTGTGTTCACACTCATCTCAGTTTCCACTCCTTCATCCGTGTGTTCACACTCATCTCTGTGTCCATAGCACCTAGCACACAGAATGGTGTCCTGGTGTGGAATGAGTGATCCCCTTCCAACAGCCTCCAGAATTGTCTCCTTTCCTCTCTTCTTGCAAACATGTTCAAGTTGTGTGCATCCTAATAACATTCACCAGTCAAAAAATCAGCCGGGCGTGGTAGCACATGCCTGTAGTTCCGGCTACTTGGAAGGCTGAGGCGGAAGGATCGCTGGATCCCAGCAGGTCGAGGCTGCGGTGGCCGGGAGTGGCCACTGCACTCCAGTCTGGGTGACAGAGTGAGACTCCAACTCAAAAAAAAAAAAAAAAATAAAAGAGACATGACAGAGAGCAAATCACCTGAAGCTAACTGATAGACAAAGAGGTTGATACTTGATATATAAATAGTGCTTAGAAGTCAATTAAAAGAAACTCTACAATAATAGGCTATGAGGGGACCCAAATGAGCAATCAGCAAAAGTGAAAATAGCCAATAATACATGAAATGAAAATCAAGGTCATTAATAAAAGATGCAAAAGGTGGGAGGACAACAGGTGCTCACATGTTGAATTATGGAATATAAACGGACATATTCTTTCCAGAGAGCATTTTGGTTAGTTTTAGACATTCCACCCTTAGGAACACATTCAAAGGGAATACATAAGTGAACAAGTGGTGTTTAATAGCAAAATATCAGAAGATACAAATATCTTTTGATTCCTTTTAGTAGGGAATCAAATAAATTATGGTACAATAACTGAAAGATGTATTATACAATCTTAAAAATGATGATGAGCCGGGCTCAGTGGCTCAGCCTGTAATTCGGCGCCTTTGGGAGGCTGAGTTGAGTGGATTGCCTGAGCCCGCAGGTTCGAGACCCGCCTGGGCAGCAAGACCTCATCTCTACAATAAATAAATCAAAAAATCAGCTGGGCGTGGTAGTGCATGCCTGTAATTCCAGCTACTCGGAAGGCTGAGGCGGAAAGATCACCAGAGCCCAGCAGGTCGAGGCTGCGG